ATCTTCTTTTAAAGGAAGAACATAAATGCAGAGAAAGATTACTTTCCCAAGGTTACAAAACAACTTGAGGCGTAAAACTTAAATATTACATGAAATATATTGCAAAGAATTATTGAATACTGATAAATAAATAACATTAATTACAAGTGTAAAAGGAAGAAATTAAAAAAGCATACAATTAAAAGTTTATCACAAATTTAACAGTTACAATTATTTAAGCGTTTAATACATTATTAACAAATTAACAATTAACAAATGATTATTAAATTAGATGAATGATGCTGATTAAATAAATTAAGATGATTAGATAATGAAATTAGATAATAAAATTAGAATTAACAATTGATTTTACTTAATATGTAGTATACCATACTACAATCGTCATTCAAAATTACAAAGTAATCCGTTAATTTATTGTTCGAAGTGATGCGATCTGTGCCTTTCGTTTATGGCCCTTTTTTAAAAAAATTCATTTGTAAAATTAACTTGATAGCCGGAAAATTCAGCTCAGGAAATTAAGCTCAGGAAAATTAAGATTTTCACTTCATTATTTTATTTTTCAATATCTTGAATAGAAAATATATTTTTGGATGAAAAGTTTATGTATATCCAAGTCGAGATAAGCTAGAAAGTATTTATTAGCTAGTTCACTTTTTCGTCACAGAAGACGCGAAATTTTCATCTGGAGCGCAAGAGAGTCAATATTATGTTATTGACGAAAGTAAAAGCCGGCACGTTAACCTTTTCATCTGAATTCGTGTAGAATTTTGAGGAAAAAAAAATATCGTTTGCAAACATGGCTTTGTTGTTGGAAGGAAATGTTTATAATAATAATAAACGCAACTCATTTTCAAGGTTGCCCCAAACGACCATTCTTTTCTAATGGTTTTTCATAACGCGCTTGTTATTTAGAGAACAGGATCTAGTCGCTTAAAAATTCACAAAATGATAATTGAGTTCTTGAATTCATATCTAGACGAGGTTTCAAAGGGTTTTTCTCTGGAAAATTGAAATGTCGTCCACAATATCTGATACACTCCAAAACATTTATTTCAAGGAGATTAAATCCATTTGCGATCATTACACAATTTTCTAACAATGAATTTATTTTTTATTCTTTCATCTTGCTGTGAATAATTCTCATCAGTCTTTTGATTTGAAAGGATTTAAAAACATATAAATTTTTGCTCTTATGTTAAACAAAAGTTACCTTAGTTAAATTGGTTTGGCGTATCGTTAAATGTAGGCAAATCTTAGAATAAAATATATTTAATCCCATTTAAACGCCTGAGATTGATATCTAGCAGGGTTGGCATGATTTAATTCATGAATAAAATTACGATTAATATCATTTAAATTTCTAAAAAAAAATAATGATTAATATAAATCGATTTTAAATTCTTTTTTTAAAAAAATCCTTAATTTAAAACAATTGATATTAAAAAAAATTACTATTTTAAGTTGATAATATTTAAGTACAATATAATTAATAAATATATTCCTTCTAATGTGAACTTTTAAAAGTCTGATTTTATACATAATGATAATTTTTTCTAAAGAAAAATTGAAAAGGGGATGTAGGAAAAATTATTATACTTCCAATTAGACTAAATAATTAAAAATAGACTTAATAAATAAAAGTTGACTAAATAAATAAATGTAGCCTAAATAAATAAATGTAGACTGAATAAATAAAAATGGACTAAATAAATAAAAATGGACTAAATAAATAAAAATGGACTAAATAAATAAAAATAGACTAAATAAATAAAAATAGACTAAATAAATGAAAACAATGACAACAAGTGGATTAAAGTTGCAAGAAGCTTTTAAAATATAATTAGTTGCATGCAAAATAGCTTGATGGTAAAAACATATTTTAATTATACCCATTTAGATTTATGTTTATGTAAATCTAAGTGCTTTTGAAATTTTTAATATAAGTGAGAGTCGATTGTGTGAAAATTAGTTCTGTTTCCTAGTGGATAAATTACACTTAACTTGTCAAAAAAAATAGACCTACTATATTGGCCTACAAAATCCCAGATGTCGACTAATTCACGGCGCTTGTGTAGAAAAGTATGTTTTGCAGCTATCCTTATTATTGATCATTTTATGATAGCTTATTATATGTTTTTTTTATTTATTCCAGCTTGTTAAAGATTCATATTATAACAAACGATATGGATTTCGTAGCACAGTTCTGTTTCATTTCGATAACCTCTGCTTTCGGGGCAAGACCCATTTTATGTGTGTCTATGCAGGGCTCAAGAAAGCTGTAGTGCAGCGGAGGAAGAAGACAACTATATCCAAGGCTAAACAAAGATTTTGCGACATCTGAGATTTTGTTTTAATTTGTAATATCACGAGATTTGTGGTTAGGAACAAATTTTTGTCAATATTTAGGTTTCTTTCTGTAAAGTTTATAAAATTATAAGAAATAAAGACAAATAAATAAAAGAAAAGAAAAAGGAAACGAGGTTAATCTCTAATTTTACAATTTTGATTTGAGAGTCTACGTCTGTTAATCGTGTTATCAACACAAGCTAGGACGTGTATTTTTTCTCTCCTTTATCTTTGAAATTATGTTTTCTTTTTTCAGTAATTTTTCTTTCAGAAAATATCTGAATATATCGTCGGTAAGATTTTAAATCTGGACACAGTTCAAAATACGTATGAACGTTCAAAATATGTTCAAAATGAACACAGCAAAAATCGAGACTCTTCAGTTTTAAACCCTAACTTAACCACTATACTACGAACTTACTCATCCGTACTGATGCAATTAATTTGTTGTTGTTTCTAATGCCATTTGCCATACCAGCAAGTCTGCTTGGTGAAACCAAGCGAATTTAAGGCAGAGGGTGCATTTATGGTTTTTCAGTGGCACAATCTGTGGCCAAGAATACATCGTCAGCCACACCCACGTCACAGCTCGTTTTGAAGGGTGATCTCATTCATACCATTCATTCCTCCACATATTGTAATTTTGACCTTAAACAGAGAACAAATGCTCTCAAAGGTATTAATCAGTACCCTCAAAGGTATTAATTTGTTATGGGAACTTGGAGGACTTCGTGACCCGACAGATTTAGCGAGCACTAATCACCACTTACTACACATGGAGTCTCCGCCGGCGGGGATCGAACTCACGACATGGGCCCAATGCCCTACCAACCAGGCTATCCCGGCCGCAACTAATTTAACTAAACTTATTTAAACGGGTCAAAATTTCGGATTTCGGTGTAGGGGTGGATAGGTATGGTATATTAAAAATATAATTTTTCACACGATGTCTTTTTATTCTGTTCTCAAAAGGTTGAAGTGTGCTCTAAAACTCTAAATTCATACAGCGTCAATTTACTACTACTGTTACAAATTTATAGCACATGTGACACCTTGTAAAAACAATTATTGATATTTTAAGTCTTTAAAAAATTACCAATTAGCTGAATGTACCAAGTGATTTATGCAAATGGGAAACATCTTATTACGAATTTATTTGGGTTCATTAGCTTATTCTCTATAAAAGAAAACATATTCATAAAAGAAGTTTGAAAAGTAGAATCAAATACAATGACCATTTTCGAAAATATGTATTTCGAACTGTGTTCATTTTCGTAAGCACATCTGTGTCCGGATTTAAAAACTCTTCGATGATATATATCACATTCGAATAATAAAAGAAAGTATAAAAGAAAATTAAAAATTATTTCGAATGAATTCCGATAATCATTTTCTAAACATTGATTTCTGCCTTTTTTTCCCTTATCAACGAATAATTGTTTTGTAATGCATATTTTATGCATAAAAAAATATACATTCTCTTAATTTATATTTTTATAAACCTTGATAAGAATAAAATCAGAAACGTCAACACATAAAGGATCTCAAAATATTTAGGCGAGAAAAGGAAGCGAAAACACTATCGAAATCTAACAAATCGTAGCATAAAAAGGCGGTACTAAAATTTTAAAACCGGTTTCATGGCAGGATAAAATTTAGATGGGTGTCTAATAATTGCCATACAGTGTTACCGTGAATACTCGAAATGAAGAGAATGGTGAATGTAAATAATCACATAGCCACTTTGGTGATTTTCTGAAATATTTGTTATATCCGATTTGATATTAATTTATTCGTTGATGTTATTAAGTTTATTCGATATTTTAATATTTGCTGAGAATAGATTAGGAGAAACATCAGTGTTCAGATATATATTCTTTTTTCAGTA